TTCAATGGTATGGGTCAGGATTAGAGTTCCACAAGAAGTATTTTCTTTGAATTTGCAATTCATTGATTAGAAAAGTTGGGTCTATTTTTCTGTATAATTGTCTAAAAAATGTTTACTTTTAACCATTTTGTCACATTATTAGCTGAAAGTACATCGATAATTTATATCAACACTTCATTTACTATCGCAGCTCAAAGATCTTGGCTTTGTCCCTTTTACCGTGGTAGCTGAGCTTCTCAAACATTGCCTAAATGCATCAACAGAAAATGGTTGAAATTACAAGTCTTTGGAGGAACAAGATTTATTTAGTTATTCTGCGATAAAATATGAAGTCAAGCCAAGTGTACAAAATCTGTTGTAACATTTTGGCGAAACAAATCCAGTCATTGCCATGTCCCATGTATAAACTTAATTTCAACGGTCAACCAAAGTTCTTATGCCAAGGACGTGGCTTTGATATTGTTGCAGCCACAACTCATACAGCAATCATCGATCAGTAATTTTTTTCACATAAATCAACACGTTAGATAGTTGAACTACTGCATGTCAAAAATGCTTGGAGCCACATTAATAGAAGAACAAAAATTATGTTCAACTTTGCATACTAGAAAATGTTAAAATTTGTAGTAAGGATAAAGATATTTAGACAGGGCCAACAAACGCCTAATGGGCACCTGTCTCATAGGTGGATAGGGCCTACGTGGCCTTGCACGTCTAGCATAACCCTTGTAGTAAAGAAATGAGTTGAAAGTTTTGACCGAAATATGTTATCCTTTATGTTTCATTTTGCACTTGTATACATATAAATTGAATAATGCTATGTAACAATTTAGATTGATGATATCTAAATTAAGTTGCGATGCATTTCAATTCAGTGGACAATGAATCAATAAAATCTATTACTATCTAAAGTAGTGTTACATAGTATTACTCAAAAATTCGGTGAAGTATGAAACCATGCCTAGACTGTTTCGAAAGTTTACATGGTAGCCAAATCATTTTCGAGGGTAAGTTTTCTCTCATGGCCAAAAAGGTATAGAAAATGAAAAATTCTCTCGTGATCAAAAAATATGAAATTAAAAAAGGGACAAGGTACAAACATCATTGGAAAAAGCAGCCAATTGGTCGGAGTGGCTAATTGGGCTGAAGAACAAATTCAGAAACTTAAGCTGTCATGTTTTATTGTGTTTTATATATGTATTTGCCACACTAAACTTAGGTTTTGGTGTTATGTTATAAAATTTAATTGGTCTAAAGACTTTTAACATATTGAATTCCAGGAAAAGGTGTGTGTCTCGGTCTCTTTGCATAAATGTATATACATAGCAACTTGTACGTAAGTATATATGATTTATTTTAATATAGTTTTGTTGTCGTGACATGCATGTGCTAAAAGTAAGGGACCAAACGTGGCCTCCGACTGTGTTCGGTGTTCGACTAATTGGACTGACTTTATCGACTAGTGTGTGAGATGAAAATTCTTTTGTTTTAAAAAATCTTTTAACAAAGTCGATAAGTTAACTTGTTTGTAAATAGTGTTGTTGGGTATTAATCACCGTAAAAGGAAGAAATAACAATTTAAAGTTGATACTTTTCTATTTGCTCAAATTTGCGAGTATTTCGATTTTCCAAATTTGACAAATTAGGATGTAACGATATATTTTAAAATTTGAATTTTGTTACACGGACACGTATACATAAACTACAATTGATGAAACAATATGATCTTTTAACTTTGACCTTTTATGCTCGAATGGAAGTTTTCAGTCTCTCGCCAAATAGTGTAGCGTGAAATTTTCAAAATTGATATCCGTTATATTGAACTTGTTGTCTTATTTATTGTCCTCCGAATATTTTTTTGACATATTGATACATCATTGTTTTTTCATATCTGAGAGGATGTCAAGATATATAGTATGTCTATCTATCAAAAATGTATCGAAGAAACAATTATTTTAAATTAAGAATAAAGGTCATAAATAGCTTATGATTAATAAATGCCTATATTTGGTAGGGATTAAAATCAGATTTGTTGGAGATTTTGATAAAAATTAATGAAATATGTAGTTAAAAATTCGTGGGACCCTTGAAATTTATGATTAAAATTGATTGTCTACTTTAACTTAAATTAAAATATAAATTTTAATGGTACCAAAACAGGGATCTTTATTCCAAATGGATAAACACAAAATCTTTCCAGTCTCAATTGTCTGATTAGATGCTTACCTGATAAGATTTCGTGTACAATTAATAAAATAAGTATCTGACACATTCTCTCAAGTGTAAAACGTTTTTTTGTAATAAAAGGAAACCGTCCAAATCTGATTAACATCTAAACCGACATTGATTATGTCGTATTAATCCTAATTAAAATCCCTAGGATGGTGTCACAACATACATGCCCTGCCCTGCCAATTGCATTATTCTATTATGGTGTTATAGATTCTTTGAGTTTATAGCTTTATTCGAACAAACTTTGGAAAATTAAAGATGGGTCATCTAATCTTTCACATGGGATTACAAATTGATTTTCAGCTAAATGAGGCTCTAGACTTCTAAGTTATTTTAATTTATAAATCTAGATCTTCAAATGATCAACTTCGTTAATTTAAATGTTATAATTGAACACAATTTTTCACGCTGTCCGCTAGAAAGAAAAATCATCAAATAACTAAAGATTTCTCTCCAATCAATTAAAAATTGTGTGTAATTGCCCTCACGGGCATGAGGCAATGGTAAAGTAGTAGGGTTATCTATGAAGTATTGGAGGTTCAAATCTCCACAGCAACTGTAAATCAATATTTATATTGGAAAGCAAATGGTCATGTGGAGGCAAAGTTATGATATATTTTATCGTCCCTCCGGTGGTCTTGTCCGCAAGTCGTAAAGGGAGATCCATAAGGAGGAGAATCGCATTTCGAATATCTACACCAAATGCATATAAGTTGTGAGAGCATCCGGATTTATCTGGATGGCGAATCAGGGGATATTGCTGTCACTCCTTAAGATTAGTCGAGCGAAACTCGGACACCTAAGTCATAAAAAAAAAAAAAAAATTGTGTGTAATTTTAATATCTGCATTTACAATGTATATTGAAAATGTATGATTAAGTGAATTTTGAAAAAAATGAAAATGGAACTTAATACTTTTATATGAACGAGGCGGCCACCCACGCTTTGCTCTTGTGGACCAAAGTAGGGCCGACAGGGACGACAAAACACACATACATCTTCTGAAAAAAGCCTGTCCCTCTTGTCTGTCCCTCCCCTCCATTCCATGCTTTGTCCCTCTAATTAAGTTATTCAAGAGTTTACAAGGATATAATTTAAATTGATTATCCATAATTTACTATTTATTTATTATTAACAATTATATGAAAAGCATATCTTATTAGCATATAAAAAAAACTACCAAATAAGCATGTCATATGCTTTACGATTTCATGCATCATATCGTAATATCTGGAGCAATGTTAGTTGTGTATTTTTTCATGCACGTACTACACCGTTTATTGTAAAACTCACTCACATGATCGCGACTTTTTGTCCCAACATAGGTGTTTCCCAAGACAAAAGGAGCATGAAAATACCTTCTTATTGTCGAAAGTTGGTACAAGATTTCAAACTCAACGAAAACAACTAAACATGAAAACATGGACGATTTCTTGCCCATTGTGAGAGGAAGCTCATTATGATCACAACTGACATGGCAATGTCACATCAGCTTGCTCCATTAGAAATAGGCAAATTTTATCTTGTCCACTGTGGACAAGATAACAATTTTGAATATAAGGGTTATTCTTTTACAAGATTTAATCCAACACCTTACACACTAATAAGAAAAAGAGCCCATTTTTGTTTAAAAAATAACCTGTACCAAAGAATAGAAATAGTCAAAAAGTAGATCGGTCAATCCTCAATCAGTAAATTATCGACGAAATCATCGGTAGTTTGTGATGGTATGTTGTTGTTTCATAGAAGATTACCACCAGACAGCTGCTACTAGTAATATTTATTGTCGTTTTATTTTTCTAAAAATAGGAATGCTTAGTATTAGACTGAAGCAGCTAGTCCAATGAACATGTGACTTTGTCCATTAATCGTAAAACATTAGATTACCTGCTACATGTCCAGGGTCTCATGGGCCCTGGATTTTCGAGGGCCCCTTTATTGGTGTTGGGGGAGGGGTGTCTGTCCGGACAAGCAACTTTATTCAAAACATTATACTAACATACATAGGAAATCAAAATTTCTATTTATCTATACATTTTATGTCATTATATTTCGGAATTTCCAACGAATGGAAATGACCCTCGAGCATTTCTAATGATGCATTATTCTTCAACAGAAATTTTTAACAATTGATATCCATCAAAAATTATTGATGGATCATAATTGATTATCTAAAGTTTTCGATGGTATCAAGTACACCATCACAAATTTTTGACAGACATACGTAATCGTCAAAACTTTTCGATCGCTATTAGTTCCATTGAAGATTAATCTTGTCGACGGCTTTTTGGTATCGACTTATTTTACTTGGTCAAAAAAATATATTGGTGTTGCCCCGTTTTTAAGTAGCGACCATATGAACTCTGTGTGTTTGTTACATTTTGGTGCTTGGAGTGATTCCATTATGTCCTAGGTTCAACTCTCAAAGCATGGAGATATAATTATGTCAACATCAATTGTACGGAGTTTCGATTGATGAAATAGGGTGGTGAATGCTTGAATTGCATACGTATAGCTATCTACTGATGTAGTATCACTATCACACCCAACCCTCCCATTAAAATATTTTGAATTTCACCCGTGATGATGATCTTTCCACGTGAACCAAAGGAGAAGAAAATAAATTAAGAAACTCTCTCAGTAGAGTAGCTTTAGCCTTTATTGCGAGAATAAATCTGCAAAAGTCTGCGTCCGTACATTCATCGAATCACACTTATCCAACTTGGTAACTACTTAAATATTTTGTCTGTCTTCTTTTATCTATAAATACCAATTCATTTCCTCGAAATCGAAGCAACCTAAATCCCATCTGTCTACACAAACTGAGATAATGCATTATCAATCAGAGTCCCGGAATTCTTATCTACAACTCATTCAACGATTGGCCGAGGAGAACGCAGTGGTGATTTTCAGCAAAAGCACATGCTGCATGTGTCATGCCATCAAAAGGCTCTTCTCTGGGATGGGAGTGAACGCAAACGTTTACGAGCTGGACGAAGATCCCAGAGGAATTGAAATGGAGAAAGCTCTCATTGGGTTACTGGGCAGCTCCTCGGCCGTGCCGGTGGTGTTCATTGGCGGCAAACTGGTGGGTGCTATGGACACAGTCATGACCTCTCACATCAATGGCACCCTTGTGCCTCTCCTAAAAGAGGCTGGTGCTATCTGGCTTTGACTTCTGTCGATTTCTCTCTTTCTTGACAGATTTTTGGAGCAAGAAAGAGAATAAGTAACTCGACTTCTATATTTATATAGTGAATGGAATGCAGAGGAAGAGGAGTTTGTTGTAGTGAGTTTTACCTTTGTTTTCACAATTACAAATCCGCATAGTCGGAGGAATGTAGTTGCTCCCTCCTCTGTAAATAGAGACTTTGTTATGAAATTACGATGGCATGTTTATCAGAGATTATTATTATTATTATTTATTATTATTTTTTTTCATGACGGGGGGATCCACAGTCGATACTCTTCAAATGTGCACTAGGTAAACTCTTGGACTGACGCAATAGCCTGCAAATCATGCCAACCAGATAAATCGAATTAGGTAAGTCCGATGCATAAGACTCGACCGAAAAAGTGTTGGTAGGGTTCAAATTCGTGACCAAAGGCCTATGCACTCACTTACTCCACCAACTCGACCACCCCATGAGAGGCAAATATTCTCTTTATCTTTAGTCATGTTGCTTCACTTAATGCTTGTGAACATAGAGTTAGAGCGATTTTACTTTTTTAATTCAATATTAGTCTATACCACTTCACAAATGGTTGAGAGTTTATTTGCAAAATAGTAACTTACATTAGTGAGTCCGATGGTGCTTAGGATGGAATAGAGATATAATGCCAATGTTTAGTTTAGATTAAAAGTTGATAAAAATTTAAAGTTAAAGTCAACAATTAATTTTAACCACTTATTTTATGGGATTCAAAATTTTTAATTAGACGTTTAATCAATTTTTATTAAAATCTACAAAATAAAAAAAAATGATTTTAATCTATGCCAAACAATGGCAATATTTATATAGAATGGAGAGATGAATTAACTGTCCATTCCTTATCATTTGAACTCGGCGACTTGGTGTGGCAATATAAACCTCAAAACTTGTTCTCGCGCTACAATATTGACATGTAACGAGATTCGAAGAATGTAGACATCGCACCTTTAACACTACTAGAGTCCCAATATTTTATCTTGAGCTCAACTCGGTCTTAATGCATAGAATTGGTATGAATTAACCCTCTTAATCTTGATATTTATTATTATTATTTTTTTATGCTTACACTTGGCCTTCTTGTAATATATCGTCAACCATCTCTCTGCTTCTCAAGCTCACATTTCTTGTAGAATAAATTTGTCAGAATGTATTTGACATATTGGTTGACATACATTCACATTCATATGGACCCCACGTAGGACCCACTTGAATAAAAAAATCCAAAGAGTCCACCCACCCCCATTTTTGAATACCATGTCAGGGAGGGTGTCAAACCCTCTAGGGCAAGGTAACTTGATTGTTTCTTGTATTATGCTCATTGTTAGGTCCATTAATTAATTGACTTTACTGTTCATTGCCATGTCAACTATATGGATACCAAAGTGTTACATCTTTCCTTTGTACAACAGTATAGCCTTCATCTATGAAGAATTTATAAACATACTAATCCAAAAATAAGTAGAAATGAGTGATAGATAAGTAAATAATATTTGTGAATCTATTAAAATTTATAATGAAAAGTGAATTTTAACATTTATAATTTTGGCCAAGCAAAGGTTTAGATGTGTATATTATTTCCAAAATACGATGTATTGGCAGTTATGCATTAAAAATAAGAGAATTTACCAAAATCTCACTTTTTTTGAAAATGCACAAAAAATTTTGATGTGCACACAATTTGTACAAAAATGTCACTTTCTTGTTGTCAAATGTCTAAATTACCCTTAATTTGACCTTTTTTAGAGCATTTAATGCTTCTTCATGATTGTTTTTCAAAACAATTAATATTGTGATTTGATTATTTAATTTGTATATTATAATCATTGAATATATGAATATTATATTGTAAAATACGAATTTAGTTAATAAAAAATGAATATAAAATCCTTCAAAACCCTAGTTAATATAAAAAAAAAAAAATTTCTTGTTAAACCAACCCTTATTTCATTCATCTTCTTCATTCATTTTCTTTTTCATCAAGAAGACATTATTTCATCCATCTTCTTCATTTATTTTGAAAGGTCAGTTATTACGAATTGCTTATATTTTTATGTAATAGCTTACTATTTTTAAAATGTTAAAAACAACATAATAATCACTACTATTAATCATCATGTTCTTATTTTTTTTAATATTTTTTAAGAAAAAACATACCAAAAATATTTAGAGAAATGTAAAGTATTCTATATTTAATGAAGTATTCAGTCATTTATTTCTGGAGATAGGTTGTGATGTTGTAGTTGAGAAATGATTATAACCATTAATACTACCAAACACATTTGAAGCTTCTTGACAATTCTGACAGTTAAACTGTCGAACTTGACATTTCGAAACTGTCGGAATCGAAATTTTAACTGTCGATGTTGATCCCAACATTTATAAATTGTCGGGATAGATAACTAAACTGTCGAATTGGACAGTTGAAAACTCTTGACACCCTTCATTTGACCTTGTACTATTGCATAAGTTTAAATATTCGAACGTGTCACTTCCATGCTATTATATAATCGACATATTGATTGCGCATAATTCTTATCTTTGCAATCCCAACATTTTAGGTATGAACAATAATTTGATATTCATCGTGTCGCATGGGGAAATGTTCATTCACGTGAATGACAAATGGAAGTAGACTGGGGACAAAACCACTTCCATTTTAGTGCCGACCAGTATTACACTACCCGGGCTATTGTTACGGTTAAACGACAAACTTGGTGTCCTCGATCCGTGCACAAAAATGGAATTGAAGTTCAAACTTCCCTACATGAATATACCGCCGGCTGAAATACTTGAAGATGAAGACGTAAATTGGTACATATTAGTTCATAAGGAAACTGCTCTCTGCGTTATGACATTGGAAACTGGCCTACTAAGTGTTGAAATGGAGAAGGATACAAATTACAGCCAACAATTTTTCCCTACTGCGTTATACATTGAAATCTATTATAGTACACTTTTGATTCTCATTATTGCTTGCAGTCGTTATTGATCTTTGTATTGGCATAAACATTAGGATCATCATGTTGATGACCTGCAGAACATCCCGACAGTTCACCTGTCGGTCCCGCCAGTTGTCTTCTGTCATTCTCAACATATGAATGCAAATGTCACATAACCATGGTAATAGTGAATAAACAACGCGACAAATAACAACAAAGGTACATAACTGCCACGTGTAATAAGAACAAGAAAAAAGTACCTAAAATAATTTGTTATAACTCAACTTGAAGCACTCCAACTATTCTCTTGTTGCAAAAAAAAAGTCATTCACATCATTCGAAAACTGCTATCATTCCATGGTGTACGACATCTTTCATTACTCCCCATGAAACACCGTGTATGTTCCCTAATATTACTACGAAGCAAAGAGGACAATTAGACACTTTGACTCAATTATGCATACGAATATTAGAGATGCAAGAGTGTATTGTGTTATTTTCAAAAAACAACAATTGATCGGCTTGTCCCAAAACGTACAATATGATGAGCTAATATATTTAAAAACAGAATGTCTATTACCGAAATTCAAACCTGAAGAGTACATTTAGCCCCCCCAACTCTACGCTGGTGTCCAGGACATGCTCAGGAAGTAACTTGTGTGTAACTAACATATCTCTCAATGCTATTATAACCAACTCTAAGGGAGAAAGCAATTATGGTCATTTACTACCTAACCACCAAGTCCAATCTCTAAGTAAATTTGAAAATCAATCGGTGCAATGGTTCAATAAATATCAACTTGCAGATATTAATCTCCCATTTTTTCATAAATACTAGGACATTGTGACTCTTAAATCATGTGTACGATGGCTTCTTATAGTTTCCTGCAAAATCACATCTTCTCATATGCAAGTTATTAGAAGCATGGTTGTAATGCCACAGTTTCCCACTTCAATGGCTCATTATCTTTACCCACATCAAGAAAAAAATATTGGAATAGACATTAACTCATTTGTAAATTAGTTGTACCATGGTTTTCATGACTTTAAAAAGAATATTGGAATACACATTAAAAACAATCTACTACTCCTCAGTATAAACATTTTCGTTAAAAATCATAAAAATTTCATCCGTCAATGTCACATAAACTTCACCAACGAATGCAAAATATTATACATTAAGGGAAAACAAAATGTTCTTCCATGCAACTGCCTCAATTACTATCTATCCTTGTAATGTAATCCTAAATGCACCATTGTGAATGTTGCTATTTCTTTGACAACACAATCGATTGCTTCCACCTCCCATTATTTCCATAATGTACGCACCAACACTTTCAGGAGATGTGAGCCCACAACAGTGCATTCTCCAAAACAAGATGCTCGAAATCCATGTCTCCTGTGATGAAACAAAAATGATTACGTCAGACCAAAATATTTCAAACACACGTGGACGTTTGGATGAAAAAAAAAAACCATATATGGACAAATCAATCAAAAAATTGCCCATATCATAGCATTTATACATGTTAATGCAAAACATGCGTGCAATGTTCGGCTGAACCAAAGTTCCACTTGCGGAACTAAGCTGAGGAAAGGAAGATTCCCGACAGTTCATTTGTCGACAAGTTCATCTGTCGAGAATTACTGAGACTAACTATCAAGAACGACAGTTCAATGCGATGTCATTTCTCTACAGTAGTGAACTTTCAACAGATAAACTATCGAAAAATCTACTCTTGACCTATTATTCAATAGCTACTTAATTTCATATTTGAGCAGAGTGAAACATTAAAACTACAGGTATGCTATCAAGTGTCTATCAAGATTTTCACCCAAATACAACGAATACCACCACAATATATGGACTTGCAAGTGAAAACTACGTTATTTCTCATACATTAAGTGACACATATAGCAACTTAAACACTGCAGTAACCATTCAAGTCATGGTTCATACTTCTTATGTGCAGTTGGTAAAGGCATAGTTTCTAATGGATAAAATGTGTTTTGTTTAATTGAAGAAGGTTTAGATCAATGTCTCAAACCTTTAAAGGAAACTCGAAATGAGGGACTGACGAGAAGAATAATGAAAGATAGGAAATGAAGCCTGTCACCGCTGGCGAAAGGAGTCAACAACCACCTATGGCTTTTCTTTTTCTTTTATCAAACGAAAAGAATTCTAGAGATGAAATGAAAATTCGATGCAAGTAGTAACGGAACAGGGTACCTTTT